TTGGTGCCTCCTCCGCCAAGGGACTTTGTTTATAAAGAGAAGAAGAAGATACACGTGAGTGAACTGAGGGGCAAGAAAATACTTCTTTACCTGAATAGATTTGGTGACTTTTGTCTTGCTGAAAAAGTGAGAGCCTGGTATTCTGAGATGAAGGGAACTGATCCTAATGTTGAAGTGGTAGTTGTTTGCAGATTTGACTATATTGTAATGGCAGATGAGGGAGATGAGTCCGATGTAACACTATCCGAATTGCTTCCTTTTTGGCATGTGTGCCCCTTTGACCCTCAGCACTCGGCATCTCTGGTGGAGGTACTATTCAAGGGGGGTTGTGAGTTTGATGCCCTCATTGAATTTGGAACAGATGGCCGTGTTTGTTCAATGAAAATCGCGAGCGGCACCGATGACCTACCACTAGGCATTGCGTTTGATAAATCTCAGCTACGCGATGATATCACTAGCCATTTTAGGTTCAATGGGTTTATTATATGACTGATCCCTAGCCCCTCCAAAACGGTATTTAATATCATTTTCTTGAGATCTGCTTAACTTGTGTGTGCGCGCCCTTTTTAGGGTGCTACTCCTTGATTTTAGGAAAAAACATTTTTGCACTACACCAAAACAAGGAAATCATTCTAGGGGTTTTTTTTTCTCTACATTTCCGTCCAAAGCCAAAAAAAAGTACGCAATTTAGGAAGTTCTTAGCCTCCTTTCATTTTTCAATATAGAAAGTTCTTCTTTAAGGTATATATTTTTTTGCCCTTATAGAAAGTTTTCTTACATATTAATTCACTCCATACTACCAACTATTATGGTCATAGACTAATTGGGTCGTATTACTGTAACCAGAAAGTGCAATTGACACTTGCTAAAACAGTTGTTTGCACACAGAATAGACATGTACTTCTTACACAATGAGTAGTCTTTCAATGTTTAGTGAGAGCCACAACTTTCTTCATTTCAGAGACATGATATAGCATGTAAGCAAAGAAATGCTCTTTAACTTCAGCACAGCAACTGAGTTTTGAGTAGAATGGTAGAGTAGGAATATCATGGGTCTATAAATAGAAAAAATCAAAAAGTGAACTGAATGCTCAAATCAGAATCTGGAAGTTATATTGAACTAAGTACTAAAACTATCATATTACTCATTAATCTGTTAGCCAAGCTGTTTGAATATGAAGCAGTGAAATCTGACTTAGCAAGTTCGTGTATAACATATGTAAAGGAGCTCCATTGACTTTTGGACCAACCGTGCCGACCTGATTTATTTTCAATTGTGTGTTGCTTGGTATCAAAAGCATCCGAGAGCTTTGATGACACCCCATCTCATTCAAGACAAAAAGCGGGTGCATCCTTGAGTTGATTTTCCATATGCAGGAAATATGGAAGACGACTCGTATGGGCAAAACCAGATGTGGTCTTGGGATAGCTGGCAAGTACTCTATAATCTTTTGATTTTTCTTTCATATGGTAATTCATTAGTCTACTTGTATGAATCATAAGGTGCATGTGAATCATGTGGCCTTGTTCTCTAGGACATGAGATAACTACATTGATGCAAATCTTTACATGTTAATGTCATTCAAAGGTCTATAGTTGATGAACGAAGTCACTAGAGAATTCGTTGAACTCATTCGACCTACGGGAGAGGTACGAAGTCACTCGACCTACGGGAGAGGTACGAAGTCACTCGACCTACGAGAGAGGAGTTCACGACCGGACGTGCTGCAACCTAGGGATCACCAGGCAGCTCTTTCGCTCTATAGGGATCGGGGGGCATAGCACAATTCTTCTTGGAGGAGGATTGTTTGCCCGGGGTTCAAAAAGATTTTTCTATTCTCCACAAAATATACATATCATATATTTCGTTCGCCCAAAAAAATTATTTGCTATTTCCATGGTCAAAACTTTTGACCCCCTTTTTTTCGCTGTATATTTTTGTTACTCGTGATAATATAATCTACTCCGTATTATTTCTCACTTCAAAATTTTCTAAAATTTTTTTATTTAAATGAGCTTGGCAGAGAACTGTAATTCAGTAAAGCTTGGTGGAGAACGGTAAAGGTTTAAATTTACTTTGTGCAATTTCCCTTGCTTGGGTGTGTGATTTAATTTTTTTCCGCTCTCTGGTTGTATTTTTTACGTAAAGTAATTCTAACACATGTGTTACTAACTTTAATATCTTTTTAATTTCAGATTTGAAGGGTACCCAATCGGAAGATGATGTTTTTTTACCACGCTTGTTACAGGAGGAAGTGAAGAATTTTTCACCTTTAGGCCACCCAGATATTATCCAATGGTGTGCTAAAGCTTAGGAATCTCATCAAGACCGAGTCTGTCGGGTAAAAACTGGTAAAAACACCAGAGCTTACAACACATACAATCGTTTAAAATGTTTTTTTTTTGGCCTCAGTCTACGATAACATTATTCCTTGCATGTTTTTTTGGGATTATTGAAGTGAAATTGAATGCCCTCTCTGAGATGGAGAAAGCAATTTCCCTGAGTTTTTGTTCAATTTTGACTTTTTCTGGTAAATTATTTTTAACATTTTACCTATAATTGAATAAAATATATATTGTATATTAATTAAACAAAATAATATTTTGAAAACATTTGATATGATAAATCTAATAAAACAATTTTTCTATCAATATTTAATATTATTTTTATTATTGAGGTCAAAGTTTATCAATTTTGATCGAAAAAAGTAAAAGATCATTCTTGTCTGCCGAAGAAGAGACAAGTGAAGATATTCAGAAAACAGCTATAAAAAGAGGACTTATGTCTCTCTAGGACGCCTTTTTTTATTATTAATTTTTATTTTAATTTAGGTTTCATTTGATACACGAAATTGGATATGAATTAAAATTGAAATTATATGAAATTAATTTGGATGAAATTGAATTTTGATTCAATCCCAATCTCTTGTTTGGTTATACAAAATTATATTATGTATATTATATTCAATATTAAATTGTATTATGATTATAAACCACATTCGTATATTTTTTTGCTCTCAAATCCATATATTTTTGGAATTGATAGGAAGAAAATTAGAAAACTAGAGTTCAATACTAAATTTACATATTTTTGTACTATCAAACATCAAAATTGAAATTCAAATCTCTAATTCTAATTTCATACCTTGAATTCCGTGGATCATAGAGAATTTGTTAGTCAACTTAGGTCTTGTTATTTTGGATTGAAAAAATTGACTTTCAAAAAATATTTATGTATGATGAATTTTTAATAATGTTATATAACATATAATTTTAAATACGGATAATGATACTTTTTTATGCAAAACTAGAGTTTTTTTTATATATTTATTTAATCGATCATTTAATTTAGTGACTTTTTAACACTTAAATTCTTTTAAAATTTTTAACACATAATTTTTTCTAACTCCTTTTCGTTTTTCAAATACCTAATTCTAAAATTCTAACAAAAAGCAGGGCTCTAAAAATGCACATACTATAAACTTTTAAGTTTTAAATCTCCTTGTTTTAATTAAAAAACAATAAAAATAGTAAATTTGTGATAAAATAGAAGATTATTATTGAAATTTCTCCTAACAAATAATCTAAAAAAGAAAACGAAAAAAATTCCGAATGAGCCAAAAAGGAGAGTGGGAAAAACATTTTCGAGCGGAGGGGAGGGGTAGTAATTTTTAATCAAAATGATTTCACAAAACACAATTGTACACATTATGTAAAGATGAAAAGAAATAACTATAAATAAGAATAAAATAAAGAGAAAATACAAAAATATGAATTTTATGTTTTTATTCCTTAAATAGGAGTGTACTGTAGTGGCACTGTATATGTACTTTTATGTAATGTAAATGATCATGATTGGTAACCTAAATATATTTTAACTCCTATTTCGAGAATAAAAAATGAAACTTCATTTTGGTATGTTTTTAATATTTTCCCAAAAGTGTACGCTAATGGCATACGAAAAGTACATTACATTTTTACATCATAACTCTTCTTAGGACATACTCGTAGTCTTTATCCATAATCTAATCCTTTTATCCACACTTAAAATAGCGTAATGGATAGAGTATAATGTGTGCACTTACGATACACTTTTGGTAGACTCAAAACATTTTAAAATAGGGAGAATCACGATAAAACCAAAAAGACTCTATAAAAAATATGAGAAATTTATTTCAACACAGCATAAACATAATAAAAATAGAAAGTTTATTTTGATTCCATGATGAATTGGTGATTACTCCGTACTTTTTTCTTTCGCTGTTTGACAATTCCGGACTACCTGGAGAAGATTATACGGAGTACAACCGAGTATATATTATATACTCTCTCCGTCCTAAAACTTTCTTCCCGTTGCGCAAAACAAAGAAAAATTCCAAGTTTTTCAGTCAATTTTATTTAAATATTGGTATATAAATAAAAAATAAAACATACATATTTAAAAACTACATCAAAAGTTCAACAAAACAAGTGGTGACAAAAATATTTTATTTTATCATATAGACCATGAAAAAACATAAGTAAATATAAATTTCGGTGAAGTTGAAATAGTGCTTTGGGAAAAAAGTTATCTCTAAAGCTTTTACCATAAATTGAAATCTCTTCCCGCTTGAAATCCAATCCCGAATACTCCGTAACAGAAAAGTAACAACTCTCCCCCCGCGCCCTCAATCTTCGCCGGAAATCTATGCCGGAAATGTTCGGCTCCGGCAACTACCCGGCGCCGGTGTCCTCAGACGAGATAATCCGACTCGCGTCTGAATGCCGCCGCCGCCTCCGCCAGAACAACGCCCACCGACCGACTCTCCCGCCTTTCCTCCTCGATCCGTCATATCACCCCATTCTCCTCTCCTATCTCAACCGCCGCGCCTCCTTTCATCAGAATCGTTCCACCGCCGTCTCGGCGTATGTTGACTCCCTCCTCACCCTCTCTAAGATCGAAGATTCTCTCACTCCTCTCCTCCCACACCTCCTCCAATCGTACACCTCACTCTTCACTTCCCGCCAAATCCCGCACGATTCGCACTCCAGCTCCTCCCTCCGGTGCTTCTCCACTCATCTCGACTCCATGCCGGCACNCCGTCATATCACCCCATTCTCCTCTCCTATCTCAACCGCCGCGCCTCCTTTCATCAGAATCGTTCCACCGCCGTCTCGGCGTATGTTGACTCCCTCCTCACCCTCTCTAAGATCGAAGATTCTCTCACTCCTCTCCTCCCACACCTCCTCCAATCGTACACCTCACTCTTCACTTCCCGCCAAATCCCGCACGATTCGCACTCCAGCTCCTCCCTCCGGTGCTTCTCCACTCATCTCGACTCCATGCCGGCACTGGATCTTGTTCCAGTATTGGTTTCCATCATCTCATACCTGCCTCACATATCTGAGAGTGAAGACGCTCAAATCCTAATTCTGCTACCTAAATGCTTAAACCTAATTGATTCGTTTGAGAGAATGCATAATCGGGATGAATATACCAACTCTCTGCTTGATAAAATGCTTAAGTATGACTGGTGTAAGGGTTTCTATGTGAAAATGGTGGAAATAATCCATGGTTTTGAATATTTAGATAAAAGGAGGAGGAGTAAGTTTCTTGGTAAGGTGTTTGCTGGGATGAAGGATGTTGATGTGCAGGACATACCGTGGTTGGTTATTCGGTTGTTGGTCTTGGCTTCAAAAGGTTTTGATAAAAGGGAAGTTATTGAAGGGATATTCATGTTTTTTGGAGGCGAGGAAATGGATGCGAAAGGTGGGCTGATAATGAGACAAGTTGAAGGAACTGTTTTGCTCCATATAAATTCTGTGGTCGAGAAGGATCCTGGGCTAGCGAGGGAGGTTTTAAGGCTGGTTATGTGTGGCTATTCTAGGGCTTTCAATCATTTTACTATCGAGGTTTTGTTCTCGATTTCTAGAATCGAATGGCTTAATGCGAGTGCAATATGGATTCTGAAATCAACTCTCTTTGATGTTTACCAAGGGTATAAGTTTGCAAAGTAAGTGTGACATGTCAGTAAGTAATCGTAGAACGCAGCTGACAATCCAGCACTTTAGGCTTATTTGGACACTTTAGAACGCCTGAGTAGTTAGTGTGTGATTCTTTTCATCCATTCATTCCCCTATCCCAAAATGTTGCCTGACATACCCTCGACATAATGGCATACCAACATGAAATGTTGTTATCTTGCCATTGTGCTGAGTCTCTTTCTGATCAGTGATTAGTGGAATACGGTGTGATTCACTTTTAGCCTGCCATCCATACATCCGTTTTTTCTCTTAACTCATTGAGTTTGAGCTAAACTCCACAATGGTGGCTGTTAGTTTGATCCAATCGATAGTTCTGTTCTCATTGAACAAAACAATTTCATTGATAGTTCTAGGTGAGTTGCACAGTTTCACAGGTCGAGCATAAATGAATCCACTAGCGTAACTGCCATACTCTCTATATTCTTTTCTGCGGTACATGAAAATCTATTCCTCTCATAATCAGATGATCAAGTTAAGTATCAATCCTTTATCAATGTTATATGATGGTTGGTTTGACAAAATTTTTTTCAATTCTTTAGCAGTTTCTGGCTCGGACATTCTCTAAGATCACTGTTTATTTTTGCTTAAACACAGATTGTGTAAATGGCTAGCAGATCACCTGAAGGAAGATTATTTTCTACATGCCAGAGCCTTAGAGAAGGCTATACTGAGAGCTGTAAAATTTTCTCATAATGATCTCATGAATGGCTTTTATACTTGCTCCATTTATATTTTCATGTGTTTAACTGAGAAGTACATTAATGATCTCATGAGGACTTTATTTTTTGTAAAAAATGTCATCAAATGCGTGATAATTGTAAAGAGTTTAAGAAATCATGTTAAATTTGCCTTTGTAGAAAACAAAAAACCAAGCGTCTTTAAAGCAACATGGAATAGGTCTCTGCATAAATTGATGATATTTTATGATTGCTAGTGGTATTGTTTTCCTAGATCCACATTCGGTCAAGCATCAACCAACAATTACCTCCTCTGGTCAAAGCTTTACTGATAACATCCATGTTGAGAAACACTATGCACCATTACCTTTTATATCTTATACTGTTGGTGAAGTGGGAACTGCATGAGCTTTTTTTTGTAAAGCACATGGGAAACTATTTTTTGTTGCTACACCACATGGTGGATGTATTTCAGTAGTTCAATGCGTCACTTAATGTTATTATCTTTCTGGAAGATACCTAGAAGGTAGTAGGGGGCTTGCATATGTTTTGTTAACTCCATAATTTATCAGGTGAGTTTTTTGTTTTTAAGTGATGACCAGAATTTTATGAGAACTGAAAGGGGTTGCATATTTGTATCTAAAAAATCTCATTGCAAGTAATTTCCATGAAATAACAGGCATGAAAAAAAATCAAGTATGAGTTCATACTATGTCACAGCTCTGAGTTTTTTATACTCACATACGGTAAGTTTTTTGGTTAGTATCCGTATAGTTTTGTGTATATACTCTTTCAGGTCAAGGAAAGCAGCTTTGGGAGAGAGCATGTTGTGTCAAGTATCGTAAAATTGGGATTCGGATTGCTTGAGGGTGTAGAGGAGAAAAGCAGCAAAGAAATCAAGTATGATTGTATCGCAGGTCCAGTGGAATTAGGTCTTGAAGTGTTAAAAAATTTGTTTGATCTCCATGATGGGGTGAGAAATGAGGTAAGGATGTTTCTGAAATTAGAAGTGCTGGCCATCCCTTTCCTTGTGAACCTTACCTGAATATTCCTCATGTTGAAGGTTTTGTAAAATTTATCACCTAACTGTCCCTTAACAGATAATACAGCAATGCATTTTAAAAATCCTTTCCTCAAAGCCAGGGGTGATTCCAATCATACGGTATAGTAATTATCCCTCGCATCCGTTATCTGTTCTTACCTTTCCTGTTTAGTATGATGAGCATGGTGTTTTATTGCTTTTTGTTATGTTCTTTTGTAGGTTGCTTGGAGATCTAGTTCAGAGTCATCTGCATTCACTGCTACAATGTGCTTCAGATCTCAAAAAGTTATTGGAAAATTTCACATTCTCGGACTCTGAAATATCCTCTTCACTCATCAATGTTTTATGGCCTCTGATTAAATGCAGTCGAGATCTTCAGGTCCCGATTAATATTTATAGTTTCAGTAGTTTGTACTTTGCAAGTATGATAGATGACCAAACATCAAGGACTTCAAAACAATATCAAAAGAAGGTTCTTTGGACTGAATGAAAGTGGGATCTTGTTGAAGTCAAAATTTATTTTCCCTGTTATTTGAAGACATTAAGGTGTTCTACAATATAAAAAATTATATGTGGCCTACTCTAAGCTTGGGCTGTCTTAATGATTAAAACATTTCTGTAGCATTCTTTTTGTGAGATCCATCCCATCTTTTTCATTCTTTTTTGCCTTCATTTCTCTCTTTAATGATGCAGGATCATACCATACTGGCCTTACAAAAGGCTACTTTTAGGCAAGAACCTTCTGTTCATGTTTCTGCAGCTGCTGCTATTGTTGAATTAATTTTAGCAGAAAAGCGGTCTGAAAAAAGTGGATCAGCCTCTCTTCAAAAATCAAGCAGCGAAGCCAGCAGCTGCCAAAAAACTGAAGTTTATCATATAACTAGGGCTGGCCTTTTTCAGGAGCTTAGTGGTTTACTGCGGAGATGTCTTTGTCAGCAGGTATTATGACATGCTAAATAATTTCTCTCATTTCACTTATAACCAGAAAGAGAGGTAAGTAAGGTAACTCACTTCACCACAGGCAAGAGTCAGAGAGATCGTGTACCATGGATTGTTGAAGCTGGTGTTGATAGATCCCTTGGTTGCTGAACATGTTTTGAATTTCATCTTGCCCCACTTTCAACGATTTCTCACTAAGGTTGCCGCCCATTATCATCATCTGTTTTGCCTTTTATTTTATGATCAAGCAAAAGTTTAATAATGATCTACTTTTATGCATCTTTCATAAAATCTAAAGCTATTTGTCTTTGAAATTCTCATTTCACATTCACTCATAATGAAGTGATGAATTTTCAGGATACGGAGCTGCTTGAGATTATCAATTGTATTATAATTGAGAATGGCAAAGTCTTTATTGAAGAGCCATTTGACTGTCTTCTGTTCTGCACCAGTTGGATCCTGCAGCTATTTCATCAAATTGCCAGTAATCCTTCAGATTCATTGGATTTGCCTGGCTTCTCTCTTACCCAAGAGAATGAGGTTGTTTTAAATCATGCTTATAAAAATCTCCAAGATATGATCAATAATTTATAAAGGCTATGACTGTTGCAGGAAGGAAGAACCTTGGCTAGCCGGAGCTTATCCAATGGCTTGTTACAGATCAGGGATCTCATCAAAACTGAAAGTCTCTCCGGTAAAAATGGGTGAAAAACACCAGAACTTACAACACATATAGTCTTCTTGTCTCCATCTAAAAATGTTTTTGGCATCAGTCTACAATGACATTCCTTGCATGCATACATATCTCCATGTTGCATCAATTAGAAATATGTGTGTGTGAGAGAGATTTATGTTTCTGATTTCTTTTTATTCGTGTTGAAGTATTTCCTTACTCTCTTTTCAATCTTGCGGGTTGGATCAGGCATACTTGAAGATTTTGAAGCGAAGCATACATTGGAATCTGGACAGGTGGCAATGTGCTATTTGATTTTTTTGGGAATTATTGAAGTGAACTTGAATACCACCTTCTTTGAGCTGGAGAAAGCAACTGATGTCAAAAAGGCTGAATTGGTGAAAGAGCTTTCTCATTTGGTTTCCCTCTATGAGTGTGCCGAAGAAGAGGCAAGTGAATTTATGCAGAAGACAGCTGCAAAAAGAGGACTTATGCGCTCTTCGAGTAACTGTGGTTCAGATAAGTTGTACTCAAGCTGCACTAATCTTCAAGAGAGATCCCCACGCTTGAAAACTTCATACATTCACCAGCTACTACAGGGTGCTATTAAACAAATTAATGGGGGTTTTCAGGATTTATTATCTGATGATGGTGCATCTGTGCTGCTGGTAACTCTATCTTTTGTCTTGAAGATCTGCATGCGGCAATTGGACTTTATTTCTTTGGGGAAAGATGATCCATTGAAGACCGTGCAGGGGAATATCAATTCATTGGGTTCCCCACTTCTGGAAGTGATTCTATTACTGAAGACTCGTGAAAAAAGTGAGATAAGCCAGAGGAAAAAAGACATCACGGGAAGGAAAGATATTGGTGGGCATAGGGAGAACATCCAACTTGCCTTAGTGTGCTTGAAAAAGTTGATAACTATAAGTCTGTGCAGCTCCGATTATGCAGTTATGTTGAACGACTTGCTGTCAGTGGCTCGAAATGAGGCTGCCTCTGGGAATGTGTCAGATGCTAGTTGGGATACTCATGACAACATTTGTGATAGTGTTGAGCCTGGAAGGAGTAAAGAAATGTTTATTGAAAAGATTACAAAGCCATTGCTTGAGGAGTTTCTTGGGTTGTCTTATTTTCCTGAGGTTGAGGTAATTCATAGCTATAGGAAACTTTAGTTTATGATCATCGTGTTTTGGAACTTGTGTCCATATGAATAGGGTGGAAGTTGGGTGGGGAGATGGGTTTTAGGTTTTTGGACTGTTATGGAAATAAATTCTTATAAATGCAAGTTAGGCTCAATTGACTTCACGTTTGTCTAATTTTCCCTTAATAACCATATACTTTCTGTTGAGCTGACCTTTCCTTTCGCGTTGGAACAAAAATATTCCACTATTGGGAGAGGGATTTTCCATTTTGGCATCTCTTCCTCATCTTTCGCCAGAGTCTACTTCCCCAGCATTTTGCCCAATTATTTTTTGCTTGCTCTTTAATCAGATAGAAGTTACTCTCAAATAGTTGCTTTGTGCTGAATTTTTTTTCTCTATAAAAATGAAAATTTCCTCACTGGATTCATATCTTGTCATGGTAATCAGACTTATTCCATAAGACACTATTTCTTATACAAGTCTCAATGTCATCTTCTTCCAAGGCTACTTTCTGAAGAAGGCTAATATATGCAGGTTATTGGTGATATAGTTCAGATGATTGCCGGTACAATGGTGGGGGGTACAAAGAACTTAATTGGAGAATGGGCAACAAATATATGCCGAAGTACCTCAATCACAGATCCCGAAGTTGCTAAACGTATGTTCTGTCTGATCGTTTCCTTAACCTCGGCCCCCAATGATATGCTTGTCATCCAAGACATGGCAACTCACCTTCTACAAGTAGTTGGATCAGAGAAGGCAGCCCCATCAGACACATCTGAAGCTTACCCCATCATAAACAAATCTACTAGTGCTGTGATAGCCACCTATATTCTGGGACTTATTGAATATTTTATAATTGAAATGCAATATGTTATCAGAAAACTGCAAGGATGTATTCTAACTCAGAATGAGGACCCTAAGGTACTGGCACTGGAAGAATCCTTGTATAAAAGAGAAGAAGCTTCCGTGCTCGTTCTTTCTTCGTTTGTACAGATGGACCTCAAGTGTAAGTTGTTCCTAGCTAGTATGCCTATTAAACTGACCCAGCTATGTGTTGAATTCACAATTAAAACATCTTGCAGATCCACAAACAGAGAAGTTTCTGAGTGTTACTGCAAAGTTTTACAAATATATGGGTGCAATTTTGAAGCTTCTTAGTGCTCCTAGAGCCATTGACAACCAGATTCTACAACACATGAAACATCAAAAGGTTGAGGATTTGACTGGCAACCTGTTAACAGATCCTCTCTGCCACGTTATACGTCAAAAGGTAGGCACCAACAATATAATTATTCCCATCCGTATTATCTTCTTCTACCAACTAACCTTCTGCATTTCTAGACCGTTTTCAATTTTTGATGGCTTAGAGATCTTTCTTTATGCCACTCAGTTTGAGTGGTATGGGTTGCAGAATTACTCGGACCCTGCAGTCACAATACCAGAACCAGTTCAGAGGGAAACTGCTTGCCAGGTAGAGTTGTTAACCCATGTGAGGGATTATAACAATGACCTCGTTGAACTTTGTACGGTTATGTCAAGGAAAACTGAGCATTTTGAAGGCTTTGGAGGTGAGGTGGAAAATGGAAACAATGCGGTCCTTTCGCCCAAATCTAACAGTGCAGAAGCATCCGAGCATCCGAGACCGCATCCATCTTCCACCTAAGAAAAGATAAAAACTCATGTAATCGTGGAAGAGGATACGGATGGGCTAACAGAAAGCCGAAGCCGGTGATGCCTTTTCTTTTTTTTTTTTGAATCTTCCTTTCATGTGTAAATTCATTTTAGTCTACTTGAATCCTATGGTGCATGTGAATGATATGGTTTTTGTGCTCTAGGACAACAGATGACTGCATTGATGCAAATCTTTACATGTTAATGTCATTGAAATGTCTTTACTCTATATATAGTTGATGTAATGATCTTCTAACATCTAAATGTGTTGTGGGTCCAGCCCATTTTTGGGTTTTTGTTCTCTTTTTTTTATGGAGGGCCTAAGTGTTGAAGTGGTTTCTTCTTTTGAGTGGCCTAAAGTCAGTGGGAGGCTGTGTGGTGAAGTCACGAGAGAAAAAAAAAATCAAAGAAAGAAAGAAAGAAAACACAGAGAGAGAGAGAGAGGAAGAGTTGGCAGTGCACAAAATTGATGATTTCCGGCGATCCGACCGTTGGATTGAGCTGAAATTCTCAGAGGTTGTTCCCTACACATAGGGATTCAATCTGTTAAATTTTCACATCAATCAGAGCTACTGATCTCCTGTTATAGCAGCTGGTGTATCCCTGCGTTTTTTGTGATGTTTCTGATTTTTCTCTCTTCTCTTGTCGATGACTCTTATGTATGTTGTTATTGGTGAACTGTGGCATTCTTTATAGACTGATTTGGATATTTTTACCCTCAATTTGCATAATAAGAGAAGAGAGCGGACTCCCTACAAGTCCCAGGTTTTTATCTTTCGCACCGAAGGGGGTTTCGACGTATAAAAATCGCGTGTTGTTTTACATCTTTATTCTTCATATATTGCTGTGGTTGTTTAGATGTGCTGCTGATTTTTGTGCTTGGTGAATCAATTGTGAGAATTGGGTCATGTGTATTTTTGGTTGTTTGTCTTGAGGTTGATCCTTGTAAATGTTGTGTCCTACTTGTTGTTTCTCCCCTTACAAAATGCACTCATCATACACTGCATATTAATGTCATTCTAATGTTTTCTCTACTCTACAAAGTATACTTATGATATACTTTATCTGTTTCAAAAACATATTTGTTTACGTACTAATTAGATGGTCAAATATTGATTTTTGTCTTTGTGTATTTTTTGTCAAATTATTTTACTCTTGATTTTTGAACTTTTTAATATTTTTTTAATATACACTGTATAAATATATTTTAAAACTTGATCGTCATTAATTTCATATAAATTGAACAAAAGTAACATATGTCAAACATTTTTAAAAACTCCAAGAAACTCTTTCCTGTACATAAGGAAATAAGGAATAATTGGTTTGGGTAGGAGCCTCGAAAAAGAAAACTGATTTATGAAGTTTTTTCTACTTTCTTTTCAGGTTAAACTAGATTATAATATGCTTTTTTATTTATTTTTCAAATATAACAACCATACCAAATAGCTCAATCATACAAACCCGATGTAACCATGATGTTTGGTTTGCTAAAACTTGTCCGTCAAGATATTTTAAATGTAGCACAAAACATGTCCTAAAAACTTAGATAAAATTGTTCAGACCAATACTCATCTTTACCTCATTAAAACAAATTATTAACTTTATAAAATAAATGCTAAATCGTACTCTTTTTTTGTTTCAATTCTTTTTCCTTTTTCTAATCGAATTAGAAAAATTCTTTTTCATACTCTCTCAGCTTTTGAAAACACTTCCTCATTCTTTTTTTTTGTTTTTCCTGAAATACTTTCACTTTCTATTGGATATTTGGTGAAATCTAAACTTGATTTAAATCTTTTAGATGTTACGAATTTTAAAATGTTTTGATATTTTCCAAAGAAGCATGCTGCATGTATCCCAAAATTTGTACCTCATTTGTACACCAAAGGTATATGCACCAACATTTTGATGATTTACACAGACACAAAGTGTTGGTGCGTTAAATTTTTTTTACACTAACTCAATGTGTTGGTACGTTAACAAAAATTAGTATTGTACCAATACAAAATGTTAGTACATTCTTGCAATATACAAAATGATATACAAATTTTTAGGATAGAAATAACAATATACAAAATTAGAATTAACAAAATTATTGTTAGTACTCCGTACCAATCAAGACATTATATAGAAGCAAACAATTCCGCCTTATCAGGGATGATTATGCAGAGCAGGTTTTTGGCGTCTGCAGTCTTTTAGCATAAAAAACGGAATTGGAACTTTTCCAGCTTAAAATCCACACCCAAATACTAACAGAAAAGTAACAACTCTCCCGCGCGCTACCGCGTCCTGAATCTTCGCCGGGAATCGATGTCGGAAATGTCCAGCTCCGATCACCAACCGCCGCCGTTATCCTCCACCGATATAATCCAACTCGCGCACGAATGCCGCGGCCGCCGCCAAAACAACATCCACCAACCGGCTCTGCCGCCTTTCCTCCTCACGCCGTCCTCTCAGGCGACTCTCCTCGCCTACCTCAACGACCTGGCCGCATCATCTCCGAATCCTTCCACCGCCGTCTCGGAATACGTTGACTCCCTCCTCTCCCTTTCTAAGATCGAAGATTCACTCACTTCTCTCCTCCCCTCCCTCCTCATATCGTACACCTCCCTCTTCACTTCCCAACAAATCCCTCACGATTCGCACTCAAGCTCCTCCCTCAAGCTCTTCTCCACTCATCTGGACTCAATGCCGGCACCTGATCTCGTTCCGGTAGTGGATTCCATCATCTCATACCTGCCTCGCATATCCGAGAAGGGAGACATTCAAATTCTAAATTTGCTACCAAAATGTGTAAACCTAATTAGATCATTGGATGGAGTGAAGAATCAGGTTGAATACACCAACTCTGTGCTTGATAAAATGCTCGAGTGTAGCTGGTGTAAGGTTTTATGTGTGAAAATGGTGGAAATAATCAAGGATTTTGAATTTCTAGATAAAACAAGGAGGAGTGAGTTTCTTGCCAAGGTGTTTGTTGGGATGAGGGATGTTGATGTGCAGGAAATACCATGGTTGGTTAATCAGTTGTTGGTTTTGGCTTCAAAGGGGTTTGGTAAAAGGGAAGTTATTGAAGGGATAGTGATTTTTTTTGGAGGTGAGGAAATGGACAAGAAAGATGAGCCGATAATGAGACAAGCTGAAGGAAATGTTTTGGCCCAGATAAACTTCGCCGTCGAGGAGGATCCTGAGCTAGAGAAAGAGGTTTTAGGGCTGTTTAGGTTGGGTTATTCCAGGGCTTTCAATCATTTTAGTGTAGAGGTTTTGTTGTCAATCGCAAGTGTTAAAAGGCTTAATGTGAGTGCAATAGGGGTTCTGAAATCAACTCTCATTGGTGCTTACAAAGGGTATAAATTTGCAAAGTAAGTGTGACTTTTTCAGTAAGTAATCACAAAGCGCTGCTGATAATAATTTGACACTAGGTTTATTTTGGACCTTAATCCATATTCGTGCCTGAGTAGCTAGAATGTGATTCTTTTCATCTGCTCATTCCCATACTATCGGAACTTGCCTGAGATACTTCTGAGATACCAACATGCCATGTTGTTAGCTTGCTGTTAAGCTGAGTCTCCATCTGATTAGCTATTACTGGAATAAGCGTGAAAAAAAGCTGTTTTCACTTTGAGCTAGCCATTAACATGCATCTATCCAATTTTCTTTCCTTAAAGTTTGAGCTAAACTTTGCAATGGTGATTGTTACTTTGATCCATTAGGTAGTTCTGTTATCATCGCACGAAACAATTTCATTGATAGTTTTAGGTGAGTTGCATAGTTTCACAGGTCGAGCATAAAGGAATCCACTAGAGTAATTACTCACTATATATTTTTTCATGGTACATGAAAATCTATTCCTGTCATTATCAGTTTATCAAGTGTCAATCCTTTATCACTGTTAACTAGTGGTGGCTGATAGTGTTTCTGTGAATTCTTTAATAGATTTATCTGGCTAGGACATTTTATAAGAGCACACTGTTTATTTTCTGCTTGATATACAGAGAGTGTAAATGGCTAGCAGATGGCTTGAAGGAAGATTATTTTCAACATGCCAGGGCCATAGAGCAGGCTGTGTTGAGAGCTGTAAAATTTCCTCCTAATGATCTCATGAATAGATTTTATGTTTGCTCCCTATATATTTTCATGTGTTGAGCTGAGAGGATGTATTATGTTGTACAATTTCCTGATAGCCTTCAGCCCTTCATTTTTCATAAAAAAAATGTCATCAAATGCCTGTTAATTGTAAAGAGTTTAATAAATCATGTTAAATTTGCATTTGTATGAAAGAAAAAACCAAGTGTCTTTCAAGTAACATGGAATAGTCCTCTGCAATCTGCATAAGTTGCAAGTACTCCGTAGTATTGTTATCGTAGACCCTCAAGTCGTCAAATATAAACCAACAATTAGCTCCTCTGGTCAAAGCCTTCCTTATAAGTTCCATTTTGACAAACACTATGCATCATTACCTTTTATTTTATATCCTAAAGGGAATATGTTGTAGGTCAAGTGAGAGCTACATAACCTATTTTTTGTCAAGCACCGGGGAAAATCATAATCCATTCAATAGTTAGTCTTTTGTCTGACCTGAGTGTATTTCAGTAGCTCAATGCGTCAGTTGTTTTTTTCCTGGAAGATACCCAGTAGGCAGCAGTGGCCTGCACATATTTTGTTAACACCATAATATATCAGGGGAGTTTTTTTATCTCTAGAGGAAGCCAACTATTTTATGAGAACTTGAGAAGTGCAAGGGGTTGTATATTTGCATCTCCACAATCTCGTTGCAAGTAATTTCCATGTAATAACAGTCTTAGGAAAATCACAGTACGAGTTCATACTGATAACAAATGCATCTAACTAGGAGTCTGGTGTCTCTGGTCACAGCTTTGAGATCTTTGTAGTTATGTATGGCTAGCTGTTTGGTTAACAGTCATATTGTTTACTGTTTATACAGTTGCAGGTCAGGGAAAGCAGCTTTGGGAGAGAGCATGTTGTGCCAAGCATCGTACAATTGGGATTTGTATTGCTTGAGTGTGTAGAGAAGAAGAGCAGCAAAGAGACCAAGTATGATTGTGCTGCGGGTCCAGAGGAACTAGGTTCTGCAATGTTAAAAAGTTTGTTTGATTTTAATGATGCCACGAGAACTGAGGTAAGGATGTTTCTAAAATATGAAGCGTTTGACAGTACCTTTCCTTGTGAACCACGCCTGGAGTGGACATTTTACTTTTCACTTTTGAACTGTGTAAGTTTTAGAATATTTGTCATTTCTAGGACTTTTTAAAGTTTGTCGCCCAATTGTCCCTTAACAGCTAATTCAGCAATGCAATTTATGGATCCTTTCTTTGAAGCCGAACGTGATGCCAGTCATACGGTATAGTAGTTATCGCTTGCATCGACAATCTGTCCTGACATCTCCCGTTAAATATGATGGACATAGTGCTTTACTGCTTTTTGTGATTCACTTTTGTAGGTTGCTTGGAGATCTAGTTCACAGTCATCCAAATCCACTACTAGAACAAGCTTCTTATCTGGAAAAAATGTTGGACTATTTCTTATTCCTAGACCCTGAGATATCTTCTTCATTCATTATTGTTTTATGGCCTCTGATGAAATGTAGTAAAGATTTTCAGGTCTCGCAATTAATATTTAGAGTTTCAATAATTTGTACTTTGCAAGTATGAGAGGTAAATGACCATTAAGTATGTTCAGAACAATATCAAAACAAGGTTCTTTGGACTGAATGAACGTGAGATATTGTTCAAGTCAAAATATGTACATGAATTTTTATTTTCCATGTCATTTTGAAGACAGAAATTCTAAAAAAATAGAAAAACGTATATGTGGCCTACACTAAGCTTGGCTAATTTGCTGTTTAATTGATTAAATACATTTCTGTAGCAGTCTTTGTGTTAGATGTGTCACATCCTCTCTTCTTCATTCTTTTTTGCCTTCATTCTCTCTTTAATGATGCAGGATAATACCATATTGGTCTTGCGAAAGGCTACTTTTAGGAGAGAATCTTCTGCTCATATTTCTGCGGCTGCTGCTATTGTTGAATCACTTTTAGCTGAAAAACGGACAGAAAAAAATGTATCGTTGTCTCTTCAAAAAATAAGCAGCCAAGCCTCTTGCAACCAGAAAACTGAAGTTTTTCGTACAGCTGAGACTGACCTTTTTGACAAGCTTAGTGGTTCACTGGAGAGGTGTCTTTGTCAGCAGGTATTGTGACAGGCTAAATAGTTTCTCTCATTGTAATTATTTTCAGGCTGCAGGAGAGAGTTAACCCGCTTGACCTCAGCCAAGAGTCAGAGAGATTGTGTACCATGGATTATTGAAGCTGGTGTTGATAGACCCTTTGAGTGCTGCACGTGTTTTAGATTTTCTCTTGCCTCATTTTCAACGAACTCTCACCAAGGTTTTTGCATCATCTTCATCTGTTTTGCTTTTATTATGGTTTTCAAGCAAAAGTCTAAAAAAGCTCTATTTTTATGCATCTTACATTAAAATGTAAAGCAGTTTGGCTTTGAAGTTTCAATTCATGTTCACTCATAATAAATTGATGACTTTTAGGATTCTCAGCTGATTGAGATTATCGAATGCGTTAAAATAGAGAGTGGTGAATTCTTTATTAAAGAGCCATTTGACTGCCTTCTGTACTGCATCAGTTGGATCCTGCAACTATTTCATCAACATGTCACTGATCCTTCCGTTTTGTCGGATTTGCCTGGCTTCTCTCTTATCCAAGAGAATGAGGTTGTTTTAAATCATGCTAATATGAATCTCTGAAGTATGATCTATAATTTATAAAGGCCAAAAATTGCTGCAGGCAAGAACAAACCCTGCTAGCCAAATATTATCCCATGGTTTGCTAGAGATAAGGGATCTCATCAAAACTGTGAGACTATCAGGTAAAAATGGCAAAAACACCAGAACTTAGAACACATACAGTCTTCTTGTTTCCATTTTAAAATGTGTTTGGCCTCAGTCTACAATGCCTTTCGTTGCATGCTTAGGAAAAATATCTCCACGTCACTTCTACCAGATCCATATTGTTGTATATGTACATATTGGTTCCGCTATTTATGCAATTTATGCTTCTGATTTCTTTTTGTCGTGTTGAATTATTTTCTTACTCCCTTCTGATCATTGCATGTCAGACCAGGCATACTTGAAGATCTCGTAGCAGAAGGTACCCTGGCATCTGGACATGTGTTAATGCTCAATTTACTTTTTTTGGGGTTTATTGAAGTGAATTTGAATAGCACCTTCTTTGAGCTGGACAAAGCAACTGATGTCAAGAAGGTCGATTTGACGAAAGAGCTTTCTAATTTAATTTGCCTCTATGAGTGTGCCGAAGAAAACACAAGTAAAGATATGCTGAAGAGAGCTGTAAAAAGAAGACTTACGTGCTCTTCGGGTAACTTTGGTTCAGACAAGTTGTACTCAAACTGCACTAAACTTCATGAGAGATTCCCACGCTTAAAAACTTCAAGCATTCATCAACTACTGCTCGGTGCTTTGAAAAAATTTGAAGGAGATTTTAAGGATGAAAGTGCAGTGCATTCTAATCTTTTTGATTTATTACCTGATAATTTACCTGTGCTACCGGTAAATCTATCTTTTATCTTGAAGATATGCATGCGTCAATTGGACTTTATTTCTTCTTTGGGGAAAGATGATCCATTGAATACCGAGCAAGGGAATATCAATTCATTGGGTTTGCCACTTCTGATAGTGATTCTATCACTGAAGTCTACGGAAAAAAGCCAGAGGAAAAAAGACATCAAGGGAAGGGAAGATATTGACTGCCACAGGAAGAACATCCATCTGGCCCTGGTGTGCTTGAAAAAACTGATAGCTTTAAGTGAGTGTAGCTTGGATTGTGCAAATTTGATGAATGACTTGCTGTCAGTTGCTCGAGATGAGATTGCATCTGGAAATGTGTCAGATACTAGATGGGACAATCATAGCAACATTCACGATATTGTTGACCCTGGAAGAAGTAAAGAAATATTCATTGAAAAGATCATAAAGCCATTACTTCAGGAGTTTCTTGGGCTTTCTAACTTTTTATATTTTCATGAAGTTGAGGTAATTTATAACTAACGGTATATTTAGTTTATGATAACCGTGTTTTGGAACTTGTCCCTATCTTGAATATTTCTTATAAATGCTAGTTAACCTCAGCATTGTACTTGGTGCTTTATCTTGTTATATCCTGTTATATCTTGTTATCCTGTTATATTGTGCTCTCTACCATATTTTTTGTGCAGGTTGAGCCGGGGGTCTCTTGGAAACAGCCTCCCTACTTTCAAATAGGGGCAAGGTCTGCGTACACACACCCTCCCCAGACCCTACTGTAGTGGGATTCAACTGGGTTGTTGTTGTTGTTGTTGTTGCTAGTTAACCTCAGGTTACTTCATGGTGGTCTAATTTTCCCTTTACAGCCATATACTCTACTCTTTTAGTTGACCTAATCTTTTGTGTTGGAATTAAAATATTCTGCTATTTGACAAGTGATTTTCCATATTGGCCTCTCTTGTCTTTTGCCTTGGTCTACTTCCCCAGTGTTTTGTCCAACTATTTTTTGCTTGCTCTATAATTAGAATTGAAGTCTTAAACAGTTGTTTGGTGCTGATTTTTTAAATAATAATTTCCTGTCATGCTAATTGGGTTTATTCCATTAGACACTATTTCTTATGCAAATCTCAATGCAATCTTCTTCCAAGGATACTTTCTGAAGAAGATCAGTGTATGCAGGTTATTTGTGATATAGTTATGATGATTACCAGTACCATGGTGGGGGAAAAGAAGAACCTAATTGGAGAGTGGGCAACGGGTATATGCCAAAGTACTTATATAAGAAATCCTGAAGTTGCTAAAAGATTGGTCTCGCTTGTCATTTCTTTGACCTCAGCCCCCAATGACTTGCTTGTCGTCCAAGACATGGCAACTCAACTTCTACAAGTAGTTGGGTCAGAGAAGGCAGCCCCATTAGACAAATCCGAAGCATACACTGTCATAAACAAATCTACTAGTGCTGCGATAGCTAACTCTATTCTGCAATTTATTAAATCCATTATATGTGACATGGACAGTGTTATCGGAAAACTGCGAGCATGTATCGCAGCTCAGAAAGAGGATCCTAAGGTTCTGGCACTGGAATTTTCCTTGTATGCAAGAGCCGAAGCTACGGCGCTTGTTCTTACTCCTTTTCTACAGATGAATCTTAAGGGTAAGTTGTTCCAAGTATGCATATTAAATTGACCCATTGCTATGTGTTGGCTTCACACATAAATACATTTTGCAGGTCCACAAACAGAAAAGTTTATGAGAAATGCTGCAAAGTTCTTTAGATGTTCGGCTCAAATCTTGAAGTTTCTTATTGCTCCTAGAGTTGGAAAGCATATTCTCCGAAGCGAGTACAAAAAGTTTGAGCAAGCTACTAGCAGTCTGTTCCTGGCTCTCATCGACTTTACAGCTTCGAAGCCTGGGGAGCAGAAGGTAGGCACCAACACAATTATGACCCTCATCCGTATCATCATCTTCTTCTACTAGCTAGCTAGCCTGTACTTCTAGACCGTTTTCAAATTTTGATGGCTTAGATTCTTATGCTACTCAGGTTGGGTTGATTGAGTTGCAGAATCAATTAGATGTTACGGAAAGAAAAGAACTAATTCAAAAAGTCAACGAACTCGAGAGGGAAAGTGAATGCAACCTAGAGTTGATTGCCCAATTGCAGGAATATAGCACAGGCATTATTCTAGTAATAGACGCTTTGTTAAGGGAAAGAAAGCGATCCCAAGGCTCTGGAGGTGAAGAGGGAAAAGGCAACGTTAAGAACTCTTCGCCTGAAGCTAACAGTCCAGAAGCAGCAGCAGATGATCCTGGTTCTCCTGAAGTAGTTGGCATTGACATTCAAGCAAAGAAGAGAGTGAAAACAGATGTAGCCGTGGAAGACGACCCGGATGGACCAACTGAAGGCCGAACCCCGGGATAGCTGGTATGTGTAATACTTTGACCTTTCAATCATTTCATTAGTCTGCTTGTATATCATATGGTGCATGTGAAGCAAATGGTCATGTGCTATAGGACATCAGATGACTACATTGATGCAAATCTTTACATGTTAATGCCATTTAAAGGTCTATAGTTGATGTTCAAAACATACCCATCTTAAAGACACTTCAGTCCACTCAGTCCTAGATTTTCTTCTCCTTTTTGAGGCTCTAGTAAAAAAAACCAGACTCAAAAAACATGTAGTTAGCCTTGCCAAATAGATCTATCTTAACCAATAATACAATTGGTTATTTAGATCAATACAATTGCGACTGTTTCTAGGGTGCACATCCACCTTCTCGCATTAAAAATTGCTGTTCCTTTTTTTTTTTTAAATTACAAATGCTAATCCCATTTTACTTACCATAATTATTTGTGGGTGCATCATAGTCTATTACTCGTGTATCTGGTTCATTTCTGATTTATATTTGTGTCAAGTCCAAAATATTGAGAGCTATCCATACGAAATTTAATTAAAAATTAACTCATTTGAAATTGGTAGGATCAATCCTTCTTAACAATGAGGTTATATCCGTCAATGTAATGATTAACGTAGACACTAGAGTTAAGAGACAAGAAGATAATACACATTTTTTGTGGACAGTCATCTTATTTTCATAGAACATGAACGCTACTCTTTGTGTCATTTGATGTTTGACGTTGGTGCAAACCTCGTCAGCGGCTTCTTCATGTTCTTTCTGCATATGCAAATTGAGTTAGACCCCGCAAACAATTGAGGGAGTGTGTAAAAATAAAACCACTCCCTCCAACCAAAATTTTCTTTATATTTAAACTTTTTTTTCAAATTTTAACCATGATGTGTGAAACATGATGTAAATATAAATTACATCTTAAAAAAGTTTGAATTACATTTTTATTTTTTTTAAAGACATTGTCAAAAATCAAATTTGAGTGCACATATAAATCTTAATATAATTCAAGTAAACACACATAATTCAATTATACAAAATTTGCATTACACTTTCTTTATGTTTTTCAAATATTAGTACGTATAATTCAATCTATTTTAGGATGTCGTTTTGATAAATCAAATTTTTATATCAATTATTTATGTACACAGATAAAATTACTAATAGTAGAAGTATCGGATAGATTACCATAAAAAAGTCAAATATAAAGTCCAAGTATATATGCTGGTCCAAAAGCTGATTGACAATAAAAAATCTATTTTGCATCCACTTCCAAAAGTATAATCTGTTTTGAGATTCCAAGTACAAATGTATAATTGATTTTTACAATCACTTGCTACACGAGTCATCCAGAAATTTTCAAATACAAGACATGCAATATATATATATACACACACACACACTTACACATTCAAATACAAGCCATGCAATACAACAAGCTGGTTCTCATCTGAGGATGGTTGAAAGCCACAAGAATGTCACAGCAAGGCACCTTGCAAACACTTGACAGCACTATCATAGTTCACAAATCCCATGAACCAGAACTCGTGATTGTCGACAGAGATTATTTGGATAAACTTCTCGGCCGGATTGATTTTGCTAGCAGAAGGTTTGACTGCTTTCAGCTGGTGGATTGGAAGAACCACCTAATTGCACAAAAAGACAAGTTTATAACAATTGTATCAAGTGATTTTCAATTAGTAACTATGAGACCTTGAAGCAATTTAAAGGGTCCTATGAGCTAGCAGCAGAATGCAAAAGGTGCATCAAGAAACTACAAACATTTTAAATTGTGGCAGAAATATGACTGAATTCATCAAACCTGCTCAATTGTCTAAAAAAACATGGAGTTAAGAGAGAGTGCTGCTAAATATACCCCAAAAATGGTCATATATCCACTCCTTTCCATTAAGTTTGCTAAATCCACACCAATGTCACAGTTATATTAATGGGTTTGGATTTAGCAAATTTAGAAAAAAAGGTGTGGATATAGCCATTTCTGGGGTGGATTTAGTTTAAGACATATGGATTACCTTACCAATGTAGAAGTTTCAATATCATTCATTTCAACCAAATAAAAGGAAGTGACCTATGATCTTTTTTATCAGCAGAGGATAAAATACAATTTAGTTAGGGGTAGTGACCAAATCCCAAATAAGTCTCTTTTTTTTTGTACAAAATCTTTCTGAAAAGCTTTTTGCCAAAATGCTTGTTTACATGAAACTAGTTTCCCAAGTTTTTTGAATCCACTGTTTTTCAAGATTTGTTTGCAAAAAAGCTTAATTTTCAAACATTTGAAAACAATCCAAGACCCAAACAAGTAACACAAACGCTAACAACTAGCTAAAAGATGGTTTTTGGAAATAAGCCCAGAAAAATGCATAGAGAACAATAAGCACAGAACCAAACAATGAACTAAAAGAGTACCTTGTAATAGCTCCATTGAGTTTGGTCCCCGACTTTGTAAGAGAGTGGATTATCACTGCAAAATGCAATCTTTGCGGAAGACAGGTAAAGAAGTCCCATAACAGGGCCAGCAGAAGTAGATAAGTAGCACGCGTACGCCTTCACCAGTTTCTCCTCTGGAACAGTCTCAAATGTTTGTCTAAACACTTTCTCATAACCACCTTCTGCCAAGATCTTGGTCCCCTGCGCAATTCTCCCAACTGCAGCATCAGCCATACTGGGACCAGTTTTCACTGATGGAAATATATTAAACCCATATTAGAATCATGAAATTATCCTACAAGACCAAACATCTGTGTATCTTTAACAAACCGTAACTTCCTTCTTTAAGTCTTTTCTGTTAAAGTGCATCCCACATCGAAAGTTCAAGAGTAAAATAATCCAGTATATAAGCTCTTAAGTTAAACGAACTAAGCAATTGGATTCAATCTTTTAATGTGGTTCAACCTAAGTGTCTTATTACCCAATCCAGTTGTCCATATTCATCCTAAATTTTATCATTTTCATCAATCATTTCTTAAAATTAAAATAGTCAATTCACCACTTGTTTTGTATTGTAGAACTTTTGGTATAACTTCCGATCACCATACTCCTATTTTAGATTTACACCAATTTCAAATTTTCAAATATATGGAGTAATGAATTGAAACAAAAACAAGAACCTTATTTTGGGACGTACGGAGCATCATTTTTTTATCCATGAACAACTTATAAACAAGCATTACAAAGAAATGGAACACTCTATGAATTCATATGGGACAAGCAGGGCGAAATTGATCTTTAAGACTTACAATGTTGCCACATGTTCTCAGCAAGATCCTGGCCCTTCTTTGTTGCTTCAACGGTCTTCTTCCCCCATTTCCCCAAAACATCCTTAATTGTATCCATCGTATCTGGGAAATACACAAGAACAAGAACTTTCCAATTAGACCACAGAAATTAACGGCATATTGAAAATCATCCTCGATTTTTTTTTATTATTTTCAAATCGGACAAATACAGAGAAATTGCGCTAACTTTTAACGGAGGAACCGGGAGCTGACGCCGGAGCGGGCGAGACGTAAGGGTTAGATTCTGCAGGCATGGAGGTAGCGGCGGATCCGGATATGGGAGCGGGGCCACCGGAGGGCGGAGGAGAGGTGGGATGTTCCTTTGCCGGCGGCGGATGATCAGAACCGAGGGAGACCGGAGCGGTGTCGTTGGGGTCGAGCTTCGGGTATGGGGCGTAATCGGAGGAGTGGGATTCAGAATTGGGCGGTCGGGTTTGGGCGGCGGAGCTCATGACGAATCGAGATGTCTGGCAATGGAGGTTGATGAATTGGTGGGGGAATTCCAGAAGCTTCTGTTGATTTTCTCGGGGTAGATGAAAGGGAAGAGGGAATAATGAATGGGTCGGTCTTCTCAATCAGTAAATGGACGTTATGGGGTTAGCCGTTACTTGTCCTTTATGATTTAATGAACGTTGGGTTCAACCTTTGGAATAATAAAACAATCATGCTACACTTACACCAAGAATCAAGAAGTAAACTCCAAAATTACATCAATGATACGGAGTATATATTATTTACTTCGTCCCTATATATTTGTCCCTAAACACTGAAAAAGCAAGTGTGACAAATATTTTGAGACGGAGGGAGTAATATTTTGATGGTTCATACTGACACAAAATGATGGTGTGTTAATAAAAATTTGTGCTAACATTTTGTTTCTGTGTGAACTATCACTCTAGCATTACACCGACACAAAATGAAAGTGCAAACTTGCGGGTACAAATAGCTTAGTCCATAATAAAATAAAATTATACAAGATAGGATTATAGATTTAGTTTGCCTAGAATAAATAATCTGTATAATTTTAAATTTATTTTATTTAAAAATTATTATAAAATAAAAAATAAAATTTATATGTTTAAAAGATCTGTTAAATACTCTACAGAGCTGAAGTCACAATGAAAATGTACAAATAAATACAAGGGTTAATTCCGGTTTTTGGTCCTTATAAAATTAATGAATTTTGTTTTTGGTCTCTCCAAATATTATTTAATTAAATTGTGGCCTATAAAATTATTATTTTTGAAAATAGTTCTACCCTAATTTAAATATTTGTTTTGATCCTTGAAAAATTTATAGATTTTATTTTTAGTCTCGGGAAGTATGTGTGTGTGTATTTCCATTGAGCATTTGATTAAATAAAATAATTTTATCACATCTTATTTTGTAAAATTTTTTATGTAGTTTTGAATATTGTAACTTGCACTTTTTATTTGTATACAAGTTTTTAAATAAAACAATTTTAAATATGAAGAGTAATTTGGAATGAAGGCATTTGATAATCTTGATTATTAGGAGAAAGAAAAGAAATACATGTTGCATATCCTTTACGTTATTAGTAAAGTTTAAAATGTACACTTTTTAGATAACCAAAAAAGAATAGTGTTTGGATTAATTGGGGACTGATGGAGTATTAAAAAATTATATTATTTTCTCTATAAAAGAATTAAAAATAAGAGGTGAAATCACTACATTATTTTGATACATAATTAAGAAAAATAATTAAAGGAAAAGAAGAAGATGACTTTAACTAGTGAAGTGAGACAATTACTCGAGACGGATTGAATAAAATTCTAAATTAAAAAAATAGAGTTCATATTATTTATGCAATTTTTAACATCTTGTAACATGTTTCAAAAAAAAATGAAG